ATATATATATATATATATATATATATATATATATATATATATATATATATAACATAATGCAGTCATTTTTATTTCTTCTGTTCGTGATAACAAAATTCTTTCTAAAGGATTTTGTTATCACCAACATTCTTTTGTTATCATCAAAGATCTTTATTTTTATAGGACTTTTATAGGGCTTTTTATAGGTCATTGAACTCAGTTATTAATTAATATAAGAAGAAAGCAACCACAAAAAACAAAACTAAAATGTATGATCACACAAACAGATACACTCAAAAGGCAAGGTTTTATCCACTTATTCAAAGCTAACACTCAGGCAGAGATAATGATATTGTAGGATCGGTCTGTGCAAAAGATGAGCCGGACCTTAAACAGGAAATGTAAAGATCATCAGGAGCGACAAACATTTTCAGTCATATGATTGGCCAGGAATCCTGTCCCTGTATCTATTACCCCCCCTCTCTCTGTTAAACATACTCAGCAGCACACACACCGCCTGAGGCAGAGTCAAAGAGAAAGAGAGAGGGAGGCAAGGTTAATGGTGATTATTCAATACATATCTTTTTTTTCAGAACTGAAGGCAAAGGAATTATGTAACAGAGAGGAAAATACACATCTGAAGCCAAAATTGACCCCCCTACCCGAAACCAAAGACCAACAATAAAATGCACGACATAAACCTGCAAGGCAGAAGTGGAAAGGTGACTCTGCTGAGAAACTGTGGAGTGCTGAAAACTAAACAGATCTTCTACATTGTTCATTTTCTCTCTCTGGTAGCAATTTGTGTTTCTCTGCTTGTCGTCTGAATTTACATGAAGTCAAATATCAAGCAAATAGAAAAACAAATCAGCTTTTATCTGCACTTCTGTGTGCCTCTGTGTGTCACATTTGGAGAATAGCTTTCTCTGCTTTCTTTGGTTGTGAACACACATTAATCATTACCTGCACGACCAAGATTCAGGTTTAACAGGTATTTCACAACCACTCATTAAACACACCTTGACTGCAGTGCACTGTGTGGTTATACCTGAATATCTCTATAGTAAACTCAAAGTTCATTTCAGGTATAATGGATTCCTCCCTGGGAGGACTGACCTGTATGCAAATGTGTTGATAAACTTAAAGAACTGCGTCTTTCTTTCATGCAAATTTGTTGATAAACTTGAAGAACTGCATCTTTCTTTCATGCACAAAAAAAAAATATTCAGAGAATGTCTCTGTAACAGTTGGGAACTAACCAACGTGTTTCTAAACCCTCAGGTGATAAAGAAGTCATTTCCCTGTAATTATGTCCAGGTAACCAAATAAGGTGGTAACTACAGACCAGCTTGTCAGACCATTTCAAACAGCAACTAGCTTTTATCTTTTAAATATTACTGTGATTCTATTTTCTATTCAGACTGTTGGTTTTATATGACATAGAATTAAATGATTTGTCTTGTCAAGGTTAAATATTCTAACAACATTGCTATTTTAAAAACATTACGATGCAATGCAAGAGTTCTCTTTGGGACAAAACTTTAACTTTTAACCCAAGTATAAGCTTGGGTTTGAGATATAATAAATTATTTTTCAGGTTACACCTTACATAACCGTTACTGAATAGGTCATGTGACCCAGATCGCCACTTGAGAACAGAATAAGCTAATGAGAGCCGAATAGGCAAAGAGGTTTTGCTAGGCAATAAAACAGATATGACGATTTCATCAGGCATATGTTGAGCTCTGGATGTAGGATTCAAGCGGGCTGAAGGGTGTGGCCTTGTCTTTACAAGTATCACTTTTTCTGCTTGTCCAAAGCAGTCTGCTATCAAATTTCAAAAGTGAAAGAAGGAGTTTTTTAATTTTGCAACAGTTCAGTAAGGTCGGTTGTATTCATGGGAGGGAAACCTTGAAGTTAAAGGTCTGGCACCCTTAGTGGATAAAAGTTACACAGTATTGTTTTCAAAAACATGGCTAATCATCATTCTAGTTTCAGGTTATTGTAAGGAAAGATACGTTTATTCTTTTTATTCATTTTTAGATGTTGATACATGTATAATTAAACACATATCTCCTCAAATTACTTTGTATTTGTTAACTAAACCAAAAGTAGTAAGATAACAGCAACAACAAGCTTGAAAAGATGATTGAATAACGAGGTGTGAATAAAACTGAAGCTGTTGTGTGAGCCTGCAGCCACGTTACAGTAAAACACATAATATTCCATTCCCCATACTCTGTATGGGTCCTTGCTGGGGATTTGAGTTATTCTGCATGTAACTTGATTTCTAAAGATGTTACATTGCTCACCTTATTCTCCTTGCTCCTGATTTACATCTTTTGCACTAAACTCAACTGTGACTTGCAGAAGCACTTGAAGTATCATTTAGCTTTTGAGATGTTATAGAGTTGCTCCTGATTAAAAATAAAATCCCTTGGTATGGTTGCTATGTTTACACATACCAATTGTCTAAAAGGGAAATGACCTTCAGCTGCACATGAAACGCCAGGGGTCTCTTTCAAAAAGCAGGTTTACTGAAAAATTAAACCTGATATCAGGGAAACTCTGAGTTTTCCAATTAAGAGTTTATTCAACCTCAGTTTCTGTTACCATGGTAACATGCTCCCCAGAGCTAACCTGGTGGGAGCAGATTTTGTTCAGTAAATTTGGAGTGTCCTCTGTGTCGGCTATCCTTAGAGCCAATCATGTTGGTTTATTTCCTAATTTAGTCTGGAGATTTTTGTCAGAGTTTTTTGGATACAAAAAAATAATAATTCACAAGGTCTGTTGGGCACCTTTGGTTTTAAAAGCAAACTTTGCATTTCCTTTTGAGGAGGTTCTTATTAAAGAAGTATCCGTATTGATTAACATAGAATGAACATGTAACTTTCATATTCAGAAAATTATGTTTATGAGCACTACCATTTCACCTCAAAATCCATCACATACTGTACATTCAAGACCTTATCCGATTTGCAGCATTACAAAGACTTATTTAACTGAACTTGATATCAGTTAGGAGCATTGGTGAGTGTGAAAACAGCATTACAGAAAATAAAACTGCAGTCATATGGCACCAGTCCCATAGAATGGCTTCAGGGTGTTCCTCCTCTACCTTCTAATAGGTTTTTTGTAGGTATCCAGGTGATAGTTAAGAGTTAAAAAATTTGTCTTTGGTTAGGTTCATTCTATAATTTATAAATAATTCTTTTAATTCATTTAGTAAAGTTCATTTACTGTTTTTGAGTTGTATGTGAATAAAGGTCACATGACTAGTTCAGTTAGTGAATTTGAACTGAATTATTGGTAATCCAATATGGCTGCAGAGACACATGCCAGCACTGCAGCAACGTTACTTCTCCACTCAAGAGAAAAAGATTATTCTGTTCTGGTTTAAAAGGCACACACAGTCACTTTTGTTGATTTTAATGTTTCATGTTGATAATTTAGCATATAGGATCCATCCCCTGTTTAATCTAGTTTAACCAATTTTCTTTTAAATCTGTGTGATTAGAGACATTTATTTTTGTTAACGTGCAACTGAAATGTTTTTATATTCTTTATTTTTGGAGTTTTCAGTGTCTTCAACAAGAGAGAGAGAATAAAATGTTGAAAGACGTGTATGATGCATGGCCTTCTTAAATTTCAGACCTGAGAAGCTAAATTTCCTACGGCTGATAATATGCAATTTATCATTGATAACAGCTACTTTGGCTGAGTCTTAAACCGTAAGATTTATTTACCTACTTTATAGTTTTGATCTATTTTATTTAAAGTGTACCTATTTAAAAAAAAAAACAAACAAATACATGTTTCAGTTTTACATTTAAAATTTTACATTTCAGTCACACAGATTTAATGTGGCGATTAAAAACAACTCAATTAACAGGATATGAGATTTTTCTGGTTTATTTTAGAACTACAGAAATTATTTTCGGCTCACACATGAATAGATTTATCAATTTTGTGGCGAAAAAGGAACTACCTTAGGGTTAGGAATATTACTGGGAAGTAGGAGGTATAATCTGAAGCCATTCTACAGGACTGATAACCACCAATGAATGCTAAATTCTATGGTTATTTTCAAGGACGTTAACTTAAAAAGGCTTCATATAGTAGGAGTGACAATGGCGTCAGATGAGGAGTTTACCCTTTAACCAGAGAGTTGTTGGTTCAAGCCCTGCTCCAGCTTTTAGTATCACTGTGTTCTTGGCCAAAACACCTCACCGGCATTGTAGGCAACTGATGGTGGTTGGGGGGACTGGGGGGAACATTTTTTCCTGTCATTAAGTCCCAGGGCAACTGTAGCTACAATGTAGTTTGTTACCCTCAGTGTGTGAGTGAATGACTGAATGCAGTGTAAAGTGCTTTGGTCAAGTCCTCTGGCAATTTAATATAAAAAGCATAACACAATTTAAAGATTTTTTTTTTATTTTTATAAAAAGAGTAAATGGACCCATTTCCTTCAGCAATACAAAACTAAACTTACGGTTAAAATAATTTATGCATTTTCAGCTGTGCAACATCAGTTTGTCTCATGCTTACAGCAAAATTCCTAAGGAAAGTGTTTCATGTTAAGAAAAAAAAAAACACATACAAAAAACTAGATTCACAAAATGAAATATGTGCCAAAACAAAAACCCTACACCACGTTTTTATTTTTTTTATTTAATTAATGATAAAGGATCTAGAGTAATTCTAAGCAGTACTAGGACCTACCTCCACTACATGTAACATTTATTGTTTTGACATACATGGCAATTAAAATTACGATGACACTTTTGAAGAAACTGGGACATTTGGCAGTTGGGATGTTAGTGAATGGAGAATTGGTCTTTATCTCAGACCTGCAGGAACAAAGCATTTTCCTAGATATACAGGATTTTCTTTGGACTTGGTGTCTGTATCTACGTTACACCATTGATGGATTCAGTTGCAATTATGTTGCTTTAGTTGGTTGAATTCACTGACCACTTGCTGGGCTGCTGCAGTAATAATTTTAAAGCTACAACTTTAAAAGGTCAGTTTACAATAATGTGGAGAGACCGACACCCACATTTATTCTGTTTACTTGGATATGCTTAATGTCAACGGAAACATTTTATCCCACCCAAAATGAAACAAGGACACTGGTGTACCTGATGACATATCTACACAACTACATGACCCTGAGATTTAGTGCAAAAAATGCTGGTAGTGAATATGTATATTTCAGTGCATCTGTCCTTATGTCTTCTTGTTCTACAGTGGGATATGTTATTTGCTCTTTTGAAAGAGTTTCTCCTTTTTTAGTTATTGTTTGGGAGCCTCTGCTTTTTGCTCCTCTTGTTTGGGGGGCTCTTCCTTTTTCTCTTCTGGTTTTGGAGCCTCTGCTTTTTGCTCCTGTTGTTTGGGGGGCTCTTCCTTTTTCTCTTCTGGTTTTGGAGCCTCTGCCTTTGGCTCGTCTTTAATGCCGCACATAGTCCTTTAAAGAAAAGGCGAAACTATCTTTAAAACAACACATCATTGTGATCTTATTCTGCAAATGTAATAAAAGTAAAATGATAACTTTACTTTATGGGGTCTGGTTGTTCTTTCAAGAAGTTACAGACTTGGCTTTTTTCGGACAGCTGCTTTTTCAGTCGATCTATTTCTGCATTCCACTCAGTCTTCTCCTTCTCCTTTTCAGCTGTGAATGGTATATCAATAGGAGATTTAAATGTATTGCTAATAAGTTAGGGTTACTGTTGGTGTTACAACAAAAACAAGCATAACCCCATTGCTAACATTTGAAGTGCGCTTACCCTTCAGGTTGTTCAGGTTTGTCTCCTGCGCTGCCACTTGATCTGCACCAGATTTCTGTCAATGAACAAACAGATGCCAAAAAAAAAAATGTTGATTCCATTCGACTTTGCATAGATATTTATAGAAATTTATATTCAGGCACTTGGTATATGTTGGGAAAACCACTGATTTGCTCTTGGAAGTAGGAGCTGCCTTGACTCTATGATAATATAGAAGAGTGAACTTCCTAACCCCTAGCAATTGTCCACCTAGCAAGAAGTCCATCTTGTTTTTCTGGTTAGTGCTGAATGAACAAGTCATTTGACATTCCTTAACACGATACAATGTGTTCCAGTTTTTAGGTTAAAAAATGGATCCTACAGAATTAATATCAAGAGAAAAATTATTATTACTATAAATTATTCCTCCATTCAAAAAGGTATGAGAGGCACTTATACATTTTTTGATCAAAATACACAGATTTAGTGTAGTCGCCTTCCATTTTTCTCTAATAAGGGTAAGTATGCCTTTTTTCACACCACCCTGTTCATTTTGCAAATTATAATATTTACAGAGAAAAATATTAATTTCATAATTACACATAATGTGGAATAAATTTGACAAATTATTTATTTTTTCCCCATTATTGGGCAAATATATATAGATTAGATGCTGCAACCCTCAAAGCAACAGGTTGCTTGCTTCAACTGAGGGCTGATGATGTATTTTGGGAGTGGAAAGGGGAAGAAAGTGATAGAGAAAAACAAAATAAATCCATACCCGAATTTTAATTAGATATAGAAGAACAAATGATGCAAAACTGCTTTATGTTAATATAATGATAAAGTTGTATCAAAATATTTAGATGAACTTTCAATAAAATAGCCGATCTGTGTGTTTTAATTGGATGCATTAGATGTAGTCTATGTTTTAAGTGATTTACACAGATTTTTTTCAACCAACTAGTCACCTTGGAGCCATCGCAACCGTTTAAATCCCCCGTCGACTTCTCTGTTTTGGTCTTGAGAACATTCACTTCTTCCTCCAGCGCCTTCAGCTCTTTCTGCAGCTTGTCCAGCTCATTCCTAGTCTCCACCTTCTCGTTCTCGTACTCCTGGAGAACATCGCTGGTCACCCGCAGTTTGATATCCTGGAACCGGTTGCGCTTCTCCTCCTTCTCGTGCTCCTTTTTGCGTATCTTGATGTATCCCACCAAAACCACAGACGCCAGCAAAGTGAGAGGAAGCACAAACGCGATTTTCATCCTGAATAAACACCTTCCTGTTTTTTTTTGTGTGTGTGTGAAATTAAGTTCCCTTGAAGTTCAGAGTGTTAATTGTTCTTTCTCCAGGTTATTTACTCCTCATCCGCCATGAGAAATCCTCAGCTTAAAGAGAAAAGCTCCGCGTCACCGTTTGCGCCTCCTCTTTGCGCATCGCTGGCAAACTGAAGCCAATCGATCACTCACCTGTAGCTGACTCACCTTAGTTTTCTTTTTTGCTCAACATTGGGATTGATGCTGTTTGGACAAGAAGACACGCCCCCTTCCTGAATCGTTTCTAAAAGAGGAACAGGTTGCTGCACCTGTTACCATACCCTGGTAACACCTCAAAACGTGTTTTTCCAGTTTGAATGAAAAACTTCTGAGTTTTTGATTGAGGTTGTCTTAAAAGCTTATCAGGAGTAAATATATTTTACCTTTATACTCTTAATTATTTTCTAGTACATATCTAGATTGACTGAGATTAAAGTGCACTTCATTTCCTATGAGGCAACTTCCATTTAAAACAATACAAGTATTATTTAAACCCATAAAATAGCTTCACAACTGCTCTGAATCTTACATAACAAGGTAACTGATTAACTAGAGTGTGCATCATTAACAATGTATCCCTGAGAAACACATACCGAGAACGGAACATATAAAATATTACATGTCAGAGTAAATGCCTGATATATGTGATGAGAAAATGTGGAAAAAAAGCATGGATTATATACTTTGATGCATGAACATATTCCCAAATGAAGAGGGTACTGACCTATTTGTGGCTCAAACAAAGAAGGCATAAAAAAAGAGAAAATGCAGTTAATAGTGATAGTCACCAAAAATAATGATGTTGCTATGTCATTGTTATAAATAATATACATTATTTAAGTGTCCAATGAAAAAGTGCATTTAGTGTATCAGGCCTATTAATTGATCAATTCAGCCAATAGCACATCTTACAGGAAGATCTTTGAGGGTGCACCACTTCAGCTCTTAATCTTCTAATTAAATAACCACTTTTAGCCATCCAAAGCAAAAATAATAGCAGTCAAAGTTTTATTAATAAGCTTTGATTTTCTTTTTCTTTTTTCTTCTTAGATTTGAGACTTTAAGCTCCTATTTTAAGGCAAGGCAAGGCAAGGAAAATGTATTTGTATAGCACAATTCAGTACAAAGACAATGCAAAGTGCTTTACATGATTAAAATATAGGGAAGTAAAACAGAATCAGGGCAAGTATAAGAAAAAAAAAATGCAGATACAAGAAAGAACATTAAAAGCAGTTGGACTAAAGAAAATTAAAAAAATGAACTAATGATTTTTCAGTTGAAATTTTTAATTAGAACAGTCGAAGGTAATCCTAAACAAATGTGTTTTTAGTCTTCATTTGAAGGAACTCAGGCTTTCCGCATTTTTACAGTTTTCTGGAAGTTTGTTTAAGTATATACCATCAGTGCAACAAACCCTCACAAAACATTCTGAAATATAAATGTAAGTTATTTCCCTTATTTTTCTTTATTTAAAATCGCTGTGATGTTTTAAATAAAGTTGTAGGAAAGCATAAATAAGTAGCAGGCACACACTAATGTTTTTCTTTTGTTTTGTTTTTTATCAGCTTCTTTTATGAAAGATTTCATTCGCTGGAAAGTAAATATATGCTGGGTTATCTGATGTCTGTGCGAAACAATGAGAGCAGGTACCCAGGAAGCAGGTGGATCGACACGCCCAGTTTGTTCCACAGGTAGAACCGGTGTTCCCAGCGCTTTACTGGGGAGGAACAGGCGACATTCATCCAGGGATGAACCAGTGACTATCTGCGCTATTCGGTTCAACAGACGCACTTCCTTCATGCAAACATTAAGCATCAATTGAGGGGGAAAAAATATAAATAAGCGGAGATGAAGCTGCTGATTTTTTTTGTAGCCGTCAGCATTGCGGTGATGGCAGCGATGATTTTCCAGACTCTGCGCCAGGAGCTGAGTCTCCGCAACCTGAAGGCCCGCATGGTGGAGAGCACCGTGGAAGTCAAGAGAAGAGAGGACTCCATCATGGAGCTGAAATCTAAAATCTTGGAGCTCAAGTCCTCCGTGGAAACCACCAACCAGAAGCTGGAGGAGCTGAAGAAGGAGAAGACTGAGAAAGAGGCGGCGGTAAAGCAGGCAGAGAAAGGTCTGGAGACCTGCAACGCAGAGAAGGTAAGACGCGCACATAAAGGAAAACACTCAGGTTTAAAGCAAATAAGACAGTATTATGAAGTTACCTCGACTTAATTAAAATAACACCCAGCTATAAGCTATATCCGGGCGCATTTAAGTGAAATACCTAATGAAAAAGAAGATTTTTGCAAGGGGAATCAGCTTAAATGATTTCTGGAGAATTTTACTTGGAGTAAAAAATATTTTCCTATAGCTTATAGAGCAAAGAGCTCACGAAAGTGCCCACTCATTTTGGATAAAACCTCATAAGGCCAACAAAAACTAATTAGGAAGTCAGCATATTCCAGTATAAGACACTGTATATGATGTCTTTTTAGGTTCTGAGCATCATTATTCCGTTTGATTAACATACATATTTATGGGTTTTTTTTCATATGTATTCTACTGCATGTGTCTACTCTCATTTCCATTGCTAACTAATGCTTTTGCTTTCTTAAATTGCTAGGGAAAAGCTGAACAGAAGAAGAATGAGCTGGAAGATTCCATAAATAAGCTCAAAAGTAAGTGAGGTGCAGGGGCTGATCTAGAGGGAAGGCACAGGTGGGATTGTTTGTTCCCACAACCTTATTTGCTACAAGCAGCTCTCTTCTAAACCAGAAGGTGGCAGTAGTGATACCATTGTGTAGAATGCCCTTTGCCATTTCAAACTTAGTGTATTAATCTAAAACCGACAACATAAAACACAGCATTAATTAGTCACTATAGATAAAGAGGACTAATGCAGAATTCTTGCTCTTGTACAAATTAGATTTAGGTTTTATGGAGAAGAGTTTGTTTCTGCAGTCATTTGGAAGTCTTCCACATAATTAGTGATAAAGACCAACTGCTCAACCAGTTCAATGTATATATTACTCTGCTCCAGAAAATAAAGGGAACAAGTAAAAAAAAAAACACGTCAATTAAAACAAATTTCTGTGAAATCAAACAGTTAAGAAGCAACACTCATTGATAATCAATTTTCCATGCTGGTCTGCAAATCAAATAGACAGCTGGTGAAAATGATTGGCAATTAGAAAGAAACACTCAACAAAGGAGTGGTTCTGCAGGTGGGGACATCAAACCACTTCTTAGTACCTATGGTTTCTGGCTGATGTTTTGGTCGCTTTTGAATTAACAGTCATGGTGGCATAAGTCGGATTCTATAACCCACACCAGTGTCTCTCATGTATTGCAATTCATCCGTGATGGTACATTAATGCGAGCTGTGGCACGAAGGTTTGTTGTGTCTGTCAGCGTAGAGGCTGGAGGCACTACCATGAGACTGACCAGTACACCAGAAGACATGGAAGAGGCTGTAGGAGGGCAACAACTAAACAGCAGGACCACTAACTCCACCCCTGTGCAAGGAGTGTGTCAGCAGTTCCTGCTAGATGAAGGCATTGAAGCTATGGACTGGGCCGCCCGTTCCCCAGACCTAAATCCAATTAAGCACATCTGGGATCCTGTCTCGATCCATCTACCAACATCACATTGCACCATAGACTAACCAGGAGTTGGCGGATGCGTTAGTCGGATGCTTTAGTACAGGGCTAAGGAGAAGTTCCCACAGGAGACCATCTGCCACCTCATCAGGAGCATCCCCAAGCTTTGTAGGAAGGTCATACAGGCACGTGGAGGCCACACACAATACTGAACCTCATTTTAACCTGTTTTAAAGACATTACAGGATTAGCCTGTGGTTTATGTTGACACTTTTATTTTGTGTGTGACTCCAAACCCAGGCATCCATTTGTTAATAAATTTGATTTCCATTAATGATTTTTGTGTCATTTCGTTGTCAGCACATTCAAGTTTGTATAGAACGAACTATTCAATAAGAATACTCATTCAGATCTAGGATGCGTTATTTGATTGTTCCCTTTCATTTTTTGA